GTGTGACTCAGCAGTTTTCTTCGTTTTAATGTGACGACAGGTTCCGAGTGTGACTCTGCAGTTTTCTTCTTTTTAATGTGACAACAGGTTCTGAGTGTGACTCAGCAGTTTTCTTTGTTTTAGTAAATGTGGAACTTTTCTCCCGTTTGTCTCCAAAGAGCTCAAAAGTTGCTCGGAGTCGCAGTTTAACTGCGGCGCTCCGACCAACGAGTGCATCCCGAGGAGGTGGCACTGCGACGGCGCCGCTGACTGCAAGAACGGAGCGGATGAGACAAACTGCAGTAAGTTCCACACGTCGCCTGAAGATGACGAGATGTTTCTGCAGAACCTCACATTCATGCAGTTCCCTCCGTTTTGCTTCAACGCAGCTGCGAAACTATGCAAAGACGATCAGTTTCAGTGCGCCAGCGGCCAGTGCGTGTCCAAGATGTTTGTCTGTGACAACGAGGACGACTGCTCCGACGGCTCGGACGAGAAGTCCTGCCCCAAACCCACCTGCAGCTCCACCTCCTTCCAGTGCAACAACCTGGTCTGTGTTCCCGCCCTGTGGCTCTGCGATGGAGACGTGGACTGCGCCGACGGCTCCGACGAGTGGCCCAAGAACTGCCGAGGGAAGGAGCCGGAGAAGACGCCGTTGCCGTGCGGCGCCCAGGACTTCAGGTGTGGGAGCGGGAGCTGTATCCACAGCAGCTGGAGGTGTGACGGAGAAGAGGACTGCTCTGACCGATCCGATGAGCTCAACTGCAGTAAGCCGGCTCCTGCTGGTCCGTGCTCGGGTCTCCAGCTCAACGTTCAGAAACAAAACTTAAATGCTCTTTGCAGTTTTAGGCACCAAACCATTTTCTGCTGACGTCTAGGGAACTTGTTCTTCTGTGGTCCTTAGTCACTCCATCTCTTGGTTTTCCAGACCAAACTTCTTGTCGTCCGGATCAGTTCCGGTGCAACAACGGCACCTGCATCAGAGACGGCCTCCGGTGTAACTCGGAGCGTGACTGTGTCGACGGCAGTGACGAGCTCGGCTGCAGCTCCGGTAACGTTCTCCGCCATGACTCCACACAGAAGCAAACCCCTTCTGGGTGCCAGTCCTCCCTCGGTGCTCTTACTGTCCACTTCTTATGTCCTCAGAGGACGCGTGCAAACACCCCACGAAATTCAGATGTGGCAGTGGGGAATGCATCAGGATGGACAACGTGTGCGACAAGGACAGAGACTGCAGCGACGGCTCTGATGAACCCAGCGGTGTGTGTGGTACGTTGCACCCACCAGAGATCCCAGTTAACCCAGTCCTGCAACGAGTCACGGTTAACGTTTTTATTCCCACAGGAACAAACGAATGTCTGACGGCAAACGGAGGCTGCGCTCATGAATGCACCGACCTGAAGATCGGCCACAGCTGCTCCTGCCCCGCCGGGTACCGCCTGAAGACCGACAACCACACCTGTGAAGGTGAAGTACTTTTCAGGTCCGGCGTGTGGGGCAGCGCCATCTAGTGACACAAGTAGGAAACTGCAGACAACTAATGTCCCCAGTTGTCCCCAGTTGTCCTCAGCTGTCCCAGTTGTCCTCAGTTGTCCCAGTTGTCCTCAGTTGTCCCCAGTTGTCCCCAGCTGTCCCCAGCTATCTCCAGCTGTCCCCAGCTGTCTCCAGCTGTCCCCAGCTGTCCCCAGCTGTCCTCAGTTGTCCCCAGCTGTCCTCAGTTGTCTCCAGCTGTCCTCAGCTGTCCTCAGCTGTCCCCAGCTGTCCTCAGCTGTCTCCAGCTGT